AATCTATCCTATCATTTAAGATCATTTCGGGTGCTTTTGTTTAAGTTATTCACGTAAAGTAGGTTTTTTGCTCGGCGAGGAGCACTTTTGGTCGGGGTTCGGGGTCGGGATTTCAGTTAAAATTCTTAAATTAAAATTTCACACCGTAGGCGATAATTTTTATTCTTTTTAAATTTTTCTCACAAGTAAAGGCGCTAAAAGTTAGTTTTAATTTGAAAAGCATTTAACATAGAAAACATGTAAAGACGCATTTTAAGCATAAAAAATCCTCAAATCCTTTATTCTGCACAGGTGCCCTACTTTCTTAAAGCAATTCAAAAACTTGCAAGATATTTTTTAAAAATTTTTTAGAACTATCCTATCATTTAAAATCATTTCGGGTAACTTTTTTGTTCAATTGTTCTTCATTTTAGTAAAACAGTATTTATTTTTTAACGCATGGAATATTTTATAGATTCAAAACTTCAAAATTATTTAACAAAAAAATTTTTTTCCGTTATTTTTTTGTTTTTTGTTAAATATTTTTGTTAGTAATTTATATATCATTTTTATTTAACATACTTTTATTTAACATTTTGATAAATTCTATTTTCTATTCAATATTGCAATTTTTTACATTGAGTCCGATACAAATCCCGATACAAGGACGGGATCGGGATTAGCATCAGATCCCGGTCCATATCCGGATTTATTAATGTTGTTGATTATGTATGACGTTTTTCATTAAAAATATATTCAATTTAAAAATTAAATTTTTTATTTAAATTTTATTTTAATTAATCAATAATAAACTAAAAGAAAATTTGGCAATTCATATATGATAAAGTGTATGTATAAACATGATTGATAAAAATTTAATTTCCATCAAATAATGAGTGTGAATTTTTTGGCATTTTGAATGTCAAAAGTCTCGATTTATGAACTAATCTTCTCGATTTATGAACTAATTTTTCTGGTTTCTGAACTGAAAATCTAAGGATTTACGTCAATAGCTATATAAGGGCGTGATAGATATTTAATTAAATAATCCCTCCCAATTAATGACTGCATAAAACGCCGAGAAAATTTTAAGAAAACAATTCTCCCGCTTTAATTTAATAATTCTTTTAATTTAAAATTTAATAACATTAATTTTAAAAATTTTAAAATAATTAGAAATCACAAGGTTAATTTAAAAATCACATTTTTTGTTAAATTTCAAAAATTGTTTTAAGTCATCAATAATACTTGAAATCCTTACCCATTATCTTGAAACAATAATCTGGATTAGGGTTACCTTTTCAATTGGGTCTACTTACGAAGCTTTTCTTTCTAGATAAAAAGCTAGATTTGGCAGAACCTGATTAGATAATTCTGGTACTCTAACTATTTTAGCAACAATAAATAATCAAAGTTATTGAGGAAAATTATTGAGGAAATCAAACTAATTATTGAAGAATTAGTTTTTTCTCTCTAACTTAATCTAAAATAGTTTTATTTATTTATATTTTAAGGAAAACCTTTTTTCTTAAAAATTATGATAATTAATTTACTATTTAACGAATTTTGCCATCATTGGTATTAAATATGCTTTTACTGAAATATTCTTATGGGATGTCAAAAACCCTCATCAAACAAATCATTTAAATCCAAACTAAACCAGAACTGGAACTGTCATAATTAAAAAAGCTGGAACCGTCAAAATTAAAAAATTTAAAAAAGTTTTCGGACGATCTGTTGATAACTAAGGGGGATTTTTAGGAGAGATAAAAAAAGAGCCAGCACGCAACGCAATATTAACTATTACCGTTTAAGACAATAGAATAGACATCTACATATTGACTGGCGCTAAAATAAGTTTGACTCCCATTTGCCAACTTAGTGAAAATCTATCTATATTTCTGTTGATGCAAGCCAAACTCAAATCTGAAACATGACAAACAAATCTTGCAATTGGCATGTATTTGAACAGCTTTTCTTAAATTTGGCGCTAGGGCCTCAGAATTCCAGCAAAAGGCGGATATTTAAATACAACCCTGATCGATATCGAGACCAAATGTTGGAAGACAGTTTAAGGACTTTTGAGAATAATAAATAAAACCTGATTCTATCTAATGAATTGCAAAACTAAAATTGTAAACAAACTTCTCAATTCCTCTATGCAAAGACCTCCCTATATTATCATTTCCCTCCACTTTATTCATTCATGCCTAGCTATTAATCAATTATAAATGATATGAAATATAAAAAATCCATTATAATAGTCGATAAATTCATCTTGGCATTCAATTATGTATATACATATAAGGCAATGCTTGGCCATAAAGACCTGTCTGTAAAGACGCTTTCTATCCTATGAGAGTGAGGAGTGTAAAATCCCCTCTCCCTTTCCTTATGCCATTTCATTTTACTTATAGAATTTAAATTCTTTATTTTCTTATTTAAAAATTTATTTATAATTTTACTTTTTATTTGTGTAATTAAAATATTAATATTAAAATTTATAGCAAGTTACTTGAATATCGTAAAAATCACGTAATCTGCTGCATTTAAATTATATAAAACTTGAAATGAATATTTTGTATTGGATACTATTCCAATACTTAATTTTGGATATGCTTCAGTTGCAGGGTAATAAATTTATATTTCTTTAATAATAATTATTTTCAAGGAGCAAATGCTGGTTGTCTTCACAGTCGACACCAAGATAATGCATCGGAGGCTCGAGGCGTGCTTTTAAAAAATTATTTGATATTTTAAACACACTAATTTAAATAAAATTTTTCAGTCGAAATGCCAACCCGAGATCAATCGTCAGCTACTTGTCCTCATGGAAAGGTATTTAACAGAACGATGAATCTTACTCATCCGCGACAAATTCAAATCAAATATGAACTTGTTGCAGAACATAACATCGGGCATGGAGGAACAGCAGTTGTAAAATTTTAGATTTTTATGTTTAGGAAACTGATTGCCTGTTTTACTAGTAAAAATTCCGTGTCGACTTTTTAAATTATATTTTTAATACTAATGGTTAGAATGTCGATTTGATGGAATTAAGAAATTAAATGGTCTTGAGTGGTTTTTATTTATACTTAGAGAATTTCTATATTTTATTTGACTATATCTTAAAAACAATAAATGAGTTTAAGGTCCATCATGCATATTGGCCAGCGGCACAACGATGCATAGCTTTGAAAAATGCTCAATTGGGCAGTGGAACTAGAGAAGTTGCAATTCTAGAGCATTTTAACAGATCAGCAGAAGATGAAAGGAATCATATAATTAAGATGTTTGCTTAGTGAGTTAATTTAATTTTTTACATCTAAAAACTAGCCAAAATGGGTATTTATGAGTTTCTTTTTGTCATAATTTTAATTATGAAATATTATTATTTAGTAAAATTAACCGTAATAGAATGTATATTGCAATGGAACTTGGTGGTGAAGGTTTAGAGGACTATCGTACGCGACATAATCCAGGGGACATCATAATGCTCTTTAATCTACTTAAAGGCGCAGCTCGTGCACTTGAACAATTTCATAATCGTAAGAAAATATTATATAACATATTTCTAGCAATAGAACCACTTGGGGATAATATGTTTAACATTGAATAATAATTACTGTGCGGCAAAATATGCACGAAAAATCCAAAAATAAGCGCATATATGCACCGAAAAAGCCCACAATATGAACTGAAATATGCAAAATTTAGTGAAATATGCACTGAATTATTCACTCAAAATTGACAATGTATTTAAATGCGAATCAAGCAGTACAATGTTTGATAAATTAATTTTGCCGCCAAAATTATAAAATTTAATCATTTCAAGTTATTATTTTGTTTCCAAAAATAATTTAAATAAATTATTTCGGAATAAATTTATGACAAAAAATTTTACAAAATTTATTCGAAAAAATTGAAAAAAATTTATGCTTTGCCAAAAAATAATTTTTAAACTAAGAATTTGTCAAAAAAATGCCAGAATATGCCAAATTTCGGTAAAAACATGCAAAAATTTCAAAATATGCATCAATATGCAAATATGCACGAAAGTACCGAAATTTGCAGAAATATACATTAATAAGCGTGTCCTAACGTGCTCGGACCAATGTAAAAACACCATTTTTGAGCGTTCAACATTTTATTTCAATAAAATCTGGTCCCTAAATAACATGTCTCTGTGTATTTTATAGGGTAGTGCTCTATTTTTTGTAATAAGTTTATAAAAACAAAAAATTAAAGATGCCATTCATCTGGACATTAAACAAAGCAATTTTGTTGTCTCTCTTGATCAAAACAATAGAAATGAGATTGCAATTAAATTGATAGATTTTGGCACTTCTGTGCGCTTACGTAATGCAGGAACAGCAAGTTTGAATATTTTGGCGCAAATGCACAAGGCCCCTGAGATTCGTAATAATAACCTGGATCGTCAAAGAAACGTATATTTTATAATTAAAGCGTGTCAAAACATGCAAATGCATACTTCGCATGTGGTTATGCCATGAGCTTAAACGCTCAAAAATGGTTTGCATATCTGTGCGAATTCATACAAATTTTGTGCATATTTAGGCATTTGTAGTGTAAAAATTATTTTTAAGCAAAATACAAAATTGTTTCAAAAATTTTGTGTGCATATTCCAATTTTGTGTGCATTTGTGCATTTTTAGAAAAATTTTGTATATTTCAGTGCATATTTTGACACGCCCTATTTATATTTTAAAGTTTTAGACAAATTTTATTAACGAAATTTCCATTTTCTTAAACAGAACATTAAATATTGTTTATTTATACAAAAGTATTTTGCACGGTTTTACGCTAGATTCCAAAAATTTATTGGTATCAGAAATAAGCTTTTGTATTCATTGTCGATGAGATACCAACCTGGGAACTATTCGGGACATAGCATTTACACAATTTTTTTGCTTTTAGTATTTTATTAGTCTAAATTATTTAATCTACTGTAAATATACATTTAGATAACACCCAAAGTTGATGTTTGGGCCTTTGGTATTATGAGCTGTCAGCAATTACATGGGCGTGTAGGTGGTGTTATAAGAGATCAGTCCAGAGGAGGGATGAATTATACGGGTTTGGATAACTTTTTGAATGAGAACTGTCGAGGTGAATATAACTATGAGGAGCAGGAAAATATTTATATGGACCGTGTTATAAAGGTCGGTATTTTTAAAAATTCGTTATAAAAATTTTTGCATGCGCTAAAAAAGACATTTGTGTGAGAAATATAAGATAATTGAGGAATATAAAAAAAATTCAATTGTTTGATTCAAAATATATAATTAGTATTTTATTTCGATTTTATATTCGATAATTTATGCGGATTTGTGATATAAAGTGCAAATTTTTAAAAATTCGACCTTAAAGTTAAATTAGACATATATTTATATTTTTAAAGGGCTGTTTACAACTCGAACCGGATAACCGTCCAACTATGAATGCCATTGTTCGTTTTATGAGTGGACAATGTCATCGTTTTGCTTATGAAAACATACATGGAGGAATATTGTGTTAGTAGAAGATTTGTGATGAAAAGTAATGATTTAGATCAAAAATTGGTTTAGAAATTTCGGCTCTTATGTAGAATATTAGGTCTTTTTGAAGTATTTTTCGGACATTCCCTAGTCCAAGCAAAGGAGCTAAAAGCATAGATTTAGGTTTAACATAGAAAACATGAAAAGACGCATTTTAAACTTTAAAATTCCTCAAAATCCTTAAGTCAGCACAAGTGCCCTATTTTTAAAGCAATTCAAAAACCTCTAAGATATTTTTTAAACTTTTTTTAAAAGAACTATCCTATAATTTAAAATCATTTCGGGTGCTTTTTAGAGGCATGCGAGACTCTTGGTCTTGACTCAAGACTTTTCTTGGGTTTTTTTCGGTTTTTGTCTTGGGGTGTAGACTTGGTCTCTACTTTAAACTTCTCTAAACTTACATCCCTGAGAATTGAACTTCCACAATGGGAGAATTCTGGCTTCTTGCCTTCCAAAACTCTCAAAATTTTCGCCTGCGGCGCTGGCGAAAAGGGGTTATAAGTGCTCGGGATTTATAAGTGGATTTAGCGGATATCGGAGGATTTAATGTGAAAAGATGGTTACATTCCAGGGCTAAATTTTCTTCAGCTTTAACCTTCTACTCAATTCCAAATTTTATTGCGTTCCGTTTCCCCAAAATCCATCTTAGATCTCATTCACAATAAAATAGTAGCTGATAAGTTCGATCCCTGATTTAAGAATGAATAGTACTTGTTTTTACTCGGCAAATAATAGAATCGCCTCTAATAGAATGGCCCCATACATTTCCCTTTGTAAATGTTTGAAAAATAAATGGCCAGCCATTTCAATTGAGAAAATACGGTAAATCGGCTAGAGATTCTTTGAAATTATAGTTGCTTATGTCGAATAACCGAAAAATAAACGAAAAATTTGCCCTGAGGGACCAAAAAATGACTTGGGACTTTTAATATTTGGTCTTGAGTCTTGTGGTTAAGTCTTGGTCTTGAGTCTTGGAAAATATTTGGTCTCGCACACCTCTACTTTTTTTGTTCAATTTCTCATTTAAGTAAAAAATTATTTATTTTTTAAAGTATGGAATATTTTATTTATTCAAAACTTCAAAATTATTTAACAAAAAAATTTTTTTTCGGTTATTTTTTTGTTTTATGTTAAATATTTTTGTTATTTTTATATATCATTTTTATTTAACATTTTGATAAATTATATTTTCTATTCAATATTTCAATGTTATTCGTAAAAATTTTGTTACAATTATATAGCAGGGAGGTCTTGGGTCGAGAAAAAAGTCGGGTAGGGTTTCGGGTTAGTTAAGAATTTGAACATGAATCTAGATTTTTCTAGGTGGCTGGAGGATATCAGTATTTGAGGATTAATTAGTGATACTTGGGGAATACAGGGATTAAGGTTGAGTTGGATGGATTAAAGCAATATCATTTGATTCTATTAAATATTGTAATATTATTCGGAGAAACCACCAAATACCCAACTGCACGTTCAAATGCCAAAACTCGAATAATTCCCCATCCCACGTATGGGTTGAAATATTAATCTCCCAGGGGAATTAATCGAGAAAATACGGTATATAATGTACATTTTAATAATAACATTTTAATAATAATTAAACATTTAATAATATCCGCTACAGATTCTTCGAAATTATAGGTGCTTGTGTCGAATAACCGAAAAATAAACGAAAAATTTGCCCTGAGGGACCAAAAAATGACTTGGGACTTTTAATATTTGGTCTTGAGTCTTGTGGTTAAGTCTTGGTCTTGAGTGTTGGAAAATATTTGGTCTCGCACACCTCTACTTTTTTTGTTCAATTTCTCATTTAAGTAAAAAATTATTTATTTTTTAAAGTATGGAATATTTTATTTATTCAAAACTTCAAAATTATTTAACAAAAAAATTTTTTTTCGGTTATTTTTTTGTTTTTTGTTAAATATTTTTGTTACCTTATATATCATTTTTATTTGACATACTTTTATTAAACATTTTGATAAATTTTATTTCCTATTCAATATTGCAATATTATTCGAAAAAAATTTGTATCAAAAGCAAAAAAATTCCTTGTAGTTTCTGCTGATCGGTTTGAAAATATTAAATTCTTGATAACTAGAGCGCAATTAGCTAAGCCCGACGGATCAGTTCTGTTGTATTTCGAAATTTTAAATATAATAAGCAGAAATAATTAGCTGTCAGCAAATATAAATGTTTTATCTTAATTTATAAGTGTTTTACTAAAGCTCGACGGCTTTGATAATCGAGATTGGATGTTAAATAGAGTTGGATTAGTCCGCATCCCAACGTTTAATCCAGGGGTTTTCTCCGGTTGATACTCCCCGTATTACACACCTTAGTATGACACAGGACGTGAGAAAAATTTTCCCGCGAGGACCTGGAAAAATTTAATGTTTGTATTTAGATATTTTTTGTCATCTTTGCTGAGAGACCTTAAAGGCCTGTCTGTAAAAACGCCTACCCTATGAGAGTGGGGAGTTTAAAATACCTATTAAACGTAAGAGATTAATTGTGTTGAAAAAAGCGGTTTCTAGTCAGAATAACTTCCTTAATTTTACTCAATTCCCATCGGCATATTCAAATGAAGCATTAATAAAGTAAAGTTCTATAAATAATGTTACGGCAAGTTTACTATACTTTAGGTGAGTAGGGCCTTTTATTCCCAAAAAATCTATGGGAAAAAATAAACGTAGTGCATATAGGATGTTGGAATGAGTCCCAATTGATGAAGCATAGCTAGCATAGCATAGGATGTCAAATACAGAAAGGGATAAAGTTTGACATTATGTACAAATTCACGAATGATTTGTTCATGAGTTAATAATTTATTCAAGGGGATTTTTAGGAGGGATGAAAAAAGAGACAGCACGCAACGCAAGATTAACTCTATTTTATTCAAAATTTCAACATTTGAGTCTCATCAAGCTTTTATGAGTCTTATCAAATTAAATGCTTCTCTCAAATTAATAGTTTCTTAATACAAAATATTTAAATTTATCTTTGTTCGATGATTTTTTTGAAATTTGATAATTTCTGAAAATTAGTCAATTTTCTTTTGTCTCTCAGTCCAGGCATTATATAAAATTAAACATTGTTGCTTACTTGTTATATTTCAAATCTATAAGACAATAGAATAGACAACAATTGAACTGAAGTTAAAATAAGTTTTACTCTCATTTGCCAACTTAGTAAAAAACTACATTTCTGGTGTTGCAAGCCAAATTAAAATCTGGAATATGACCATCAAATCTGGCAATTGGCCTATATAGGAAAACTTCTATCTAATGAATTCCAAAAAATAAAATTGTAAACAACCTTCTCAATTCCTCTCAATAGATAGAATTTACATATGCCCGCTATAAATCCATATTGGCATTCAATAATATATACGTGTAAGCGATGCCTGTCTTTAAATAGAGACACTCCACTTCAATGAGAGTAGGGAGTGTAAAATGGTAAGTGAATTAGAATTAAATTCTCTTAAAGAATTTAAATTCTCTATTTCTTTCCATTTTATTTAAAAATTTATTATTTTATTTGTGTTTTAAACATCTGGGCTATAGCTATTTCTCTCATTTAGCTACTGCAGAGGTTATTCGGCGGCTGGGAGCGAACCAGAATCTTCAGTAGACCGGACCAAGGAAAGAAGACCCACAGACAAAAGACACAAAATCATTTTTCTTATTTTTATTCTATTATGCTTTCATATTGGCTTTTACCATCTGGTAGAAGTCAAGTCTTTTTGGGTGTTTTTCTGCTGCGGAGGATGCCAGGAATGCCTCTGGAGCGATAATAGAAATAGGTCTATGTTACTAGTACAGAACCGAGCGACGGTTACTCCCTTCAAAACGCGTGCTGCAAACCCCCGCGCGAAGCGCGGGGTTTCTGTCTGTGTCTTCTGTCACTAAGCCATTTGTCCGATCAAAGTATATGTGCCCCTCAACTCGCTTACTCAACTTAATAGTTTTTAATGGTCATTTCTGTCTATTAATGGTCATTCTGTCTATTAATGGTCATTTCTGTCTATTAGTCAATTTTTTGTTTGTTCCTGAGTTCACGCATTATACAAAATTAAACATTGTTATTTGTTATATTTCAAATTCATAAGACAATAGAATAGCAAAATTGGAATGACGTTAAAATAAGTTTTCTTCCCATTTGCCAACTTAGTAAAATCTATATTTCTGGTGGCGCATATCATAATAAAATCAGGAAGAAGGCAACCAAATCTGTCAATTGGCATATATTGGAACAACTTTTCTTAAATTTGGTGTTGGGGCACAAGAATCCCTAAAAGACGGATATTTAAATACAAATCTGATCGATAATGGGACCAAGTTTTGAGAGATATGTAGTTTATGCACTCTTGAGAATAATAAATAAAACCTGCTTCTATCTAATGAATTCCAAAAACTATAATTGTAAACTACCTTCTCAATTCCTCTCATATAGATAGAATTTAAGATGCGCGCTATAAATGCACTCGATAATATATACGTGTAAGCGATGCCTGTCTTTAAAGAGAGACTCTCCACTTTTTAAAGAGAGACTCTCCATTCCAATGAGAGTGGGGAGTGTAAAATGGTAAGTGAATTAGAATTAAATTCTCTTATAGAATTTAAATTCTCTATTTCTTTTCCATTTTTATT